AAAATCCATCGTTTTCCCTTCCAAATCGTCAATTTAAGTCATTTTCCCTTACAATTCGATGATTTAAGTTATTTTCCTACTTCTATTCGAATTTTTTGCCCGTTGAACAATTTTTAGTTTTAGTCCTTATATGTTGACTTTTCTATCAATTTCATCATTCAAAAATTACAACCCTTGGTCCTTAAACTTTTGACACGTGAACAATTCAGTCCCCGGAGTCATAATTTTGTGCAACTTTGATTCTTTTTTAGTATTTCGACCATAACTTTTGGTACAGTTATCAGAATCGCACTTTTGACCCCAATTTTTTTTTCTTTAGATAGATATTCACTATTTTTTTTTGCGTTCGGTAGGTATTTATATTAAAAAAATAAAATGAACAGTGGACCTTGACAAATAGTCAACAAATGTGGGGAAAAGTAGTGGGATATTTATTGATGAATATTGTTAAATTAAAAAATATATAATTTAAATATGTTAAATTAAACTAAATAATTTTGAAACACTAATAAATGCTGAAAATCAGTTCCAATCACTGTTGAAATGCTATATGGCGGCCACACAAGTATCAATGAGCAACCACTGCATCACATTAAATGCATGACAGCTGTTCAATGTTTCTTTAAAATTTTTGAGAATATTTTTCTATTTTTTTGCTTTTCTGAGTTTCTTTATCCTAGCTATTATTCTTACTAGCTTACAGAATGTGCAATAAACATACCGCATTAAATGTGACGAGTTGTTTATTGAGAAAATGTATTTCTTTGGTTTACAGTAAGCAAATTTTCTACGCAAGATGTTGCCTCAGTTATAGCTCACTGCCAGAGGAGAAATGGAGATGAGAATATACCGTGCGAAATGAGATATTGAACGAGGAAGGGTTAACCATTGAAGCCATGCTTACTGTCGAAGGAGAAATGGAGATGAGAATACTTTGACAAATGTGATATTGAACGAGGAAGGGTTAAACATTGAAGCCATGCATGGAAGTAATTCAAATGTCAGAGAATGATAATAAATGGAGGTCAGTAAACACATTTATAGTGCGTAGTTGCTTCTACGTTTTTTACACCCCTAATATGTTGTTGCAGGAATTTAATGAAGCCATAATTTCTTGCTGTGAAAAGTAGTTGACATTAAGACTTCTCATATAGGTTTAACAACCGGTAGCAATTAATTATTCTCATACAATTAATGACACTGGATAATCTTGATAGGAATTATAAATTATCTCAGAATAGGTATTCATAGTAAATAATTTAGATGAATTTACAGTTGGACTTTGAAAAATGTCATACATGGCAGTTAATATATTGTTTTTTCGGTTGAGATTTTCAGACTTTAAATGTCAAGATTTTATTTTCATGTTCATTGACCTGATTACAATTTTTTTTTATTTATGTTTATTATTTCGACATTTATACTCAAATTTTTTGTTGCGATCGAGATGGAGTACCATCCAATTCAACAACAAATGCTCTTTTCAAAGAAGTTTTTCAAAATTTGAACTAGTTATGTGGTGTATATATTTTTATTTAAAATTACACAGTCACTCACAAGATAATTTTATGAAGTGTTTTGCATCTAATTGGATTGGAAAATCAATTAGCATATGTTGCTCATGTTAGAATTGTTTATCACTTAATATAAATTTGTGCATCGCACGGGAGAAAGACTAGTACACCATAACTAAACTTCATATTTTTTCCTTTATTCGGATATCTATCTCTTCATTGGCGTCTTCTAGCATGAATTCCAGGTTATAATTAAAACCCTCGAAAAGTGATTTTGCTGTTTGTATTCCAGAGACTCCTGAAATAATCTAAATAGCAGATTTGCCTTCATGAATGTAGTTGTTTTTAGAGTTTATGTATTTCACATTTCCCATTGTGGTCCATTGTCGTAGAGCGGATTCTACAAGACTTGGTTCCAAAACTAGTAAACTCCCTCCCCAGAAGAAACCTGGTCTAGATTCAAATCCACCATTAGGAAGTAGATTATCTGCTTTTTTCCATCAAACAAGCAAGTCATGAGTTAGTTCTCCTTCCATTAATTTAGGCTAGAGATGATTAAAGTGAAAAATGTTACACGCAGAACAAAGAGTAGAAGTATATAAACATAAGATGAAGATCGACTCGCCACTGTTTTGAGCAATAGATAAACTAAGTAAAGAATAACCTTTTCCAGTTTCCACAGATAAAATAAGTTTGAATGTCAATAGATAAACGATGCTTTACAAGAATCATGCTGCAGGTATATAAAAAGAATGATAACAGGAAAGAAGTTTCATCATTGTTCTCACCATTTGCAATAAGTAAAGAAGATATTAAACACAACAGGAAACTTTATTCTCCATGCAAAAGAATGGTTAAAAAAATCATAACAGATAGCAATGTAAAGAATGATTTGTNATATAAATTTGTGCATCGCACGGGAGAAAGACTAGTACACCATAACTAAACTTCATATTTTTTCCTTTATTCGGATATCTATCTCTTCATTGGCGTCTTCTAGCATGAATTCCAGGTTATAATTAAAACCCTCGAAAAGTGATTTTGCTGTTTGTATTCCAGAGACTCCTGAAATAATCTAAATAGCAGATTTGCCTTCATGAATGTAGTTGTTTTTAGAGTTTATGTATTTCACATTTCCCATTGTGGTCCATTGTCGTAGAGCGGATTCTACAAGACTTGGTTCCAAAACTAGTAAACTCCCTCCCCAGAAGAAACCTGGTCTAGATTCAAATCCACCATTAGGAAGTAGATTATCTGCTTTTTTCCATCAAACAAGCAAGTCATGAGTTAGTTCTCCTTCCATTAATTTAGGCTAGAGATGATTAAAGTGAAAAATGTTACACGCAGAACAAAGAGTAGAAGTATATAAACATAAGATGAAGATCGACTCGCCACTGTTTTGAGCAATAGATAAACTAAGTAAAGAATAACCTTTTCCAGTTTCCACAGATAAAATAAGTTTGAATGTCAATAGATAAACGATGCTTTACAAGAATCATGCTGCAGGTATATAAAAAGAATGATAACAGGAAAGAAGTTTCGTCATTGTTCTCACCATTTGCAATAAGTAAAGAAGATATTAAACACAACAGGAAACTTTATTCTCCATGCAAAAGAATGGTTAAAAAAATCATAACAGATAGCAATGTAAAGAATGATTTGTTTAATGATGGATTGCATGAAGAATTATAAACCACTTCATGATTTGTCGGATGTGAAAATAAAATTACTTTTCATGATGAATTCTTACCCGTGTTTGATGGCTACAGACTTGCAATTGTAGAAAAGAAGAAGAAGAAACTAGGTTTATTTTTGTGGTGTGAATAATTAAGAATATATTAACCCTAATTATGTAATTTTATTTAAGTTTATTTAAGTAAATAAGAAAAAAATTAAAAATTGTGGTGTATTTAATAAATTTTTTGGGAATTGTAAAATGACGAATATATCCTTCTCTTTAAATAAAACAAAATGAAAAAAGAAAAAATTAATTACAATCATAGTCCCGATTTAAAAAAAAAGATCAATTGAGTCCCAAATAAATTATTCAAAGGGTAATTAGCACATAATGTCCGTACAATTCACTGTTATTGCAAAAAACATCTTTACCTTTATTTTTTTTAACATTTTCACTCTTAATTACACATTTGATTACGCAAACCATCATTTCTATCCATTTTCATCAAATTTCTCGATAAAAATGACGAATATACCCTCATATTTAAATTAAAAAAATCTAAACAATTAATTGCAACAGTAGTCCCAAACTTTTTTAAAAATTGCAAACAAGTCCCCAATAAATTATTTAAAAAATTAATTTTTTTAAAAAGTTCAAACGAGTCTCAAATAAATTATTAAAGAATTAGAAATTAAAAAGAAATTATTATTTTTATTTAAATAGGAGGGTATATTCATTATTTCACAATTCTTTATTGAGAAATTGAATGAAAATGATGGTTTGCGCAATCAAATGTGTAATTAAGGGTGAATGCCAAAAAAAAAAAATGAAAGATCTGGACGTTTTTCGCAATAACGGTGAAAGGTATGGACATTATGTACTAATTACCCTTTTAATAATTTATTTGTAACTCATTTGAGTTTTTAAAAAAAAATTGGGACTATGGCTACAATTAGTTTTGTTTCTTTTTCTTTTTGTTTTATTTGAAAAGAAGGGTATATTCGTCATTTCACAATTTTTAATTGAGAAAATAAATGAAAATGACATTTTGCGCAATGAAAAGTGAAAATAAGGGTGAAAATGTCAAAAAATGAAAGATAGAGACGTTTTGCACAATAATAATGAAAGGCATGGACATTTTGTACTAATTACCCCTTAAAAGTACATTTGTCAAACTTACTTTGATTTGTCTAAAAATTGAAAGTTATTTAATTTAGAAATATCACTAGTCTAGACGGCGTGTTTGGACAAAAATGAGTGGTAGATTGGGTGATATTTGTGGATTCCTTAAAATGTGTTGATAAACAATGATTTAAGTATTTATAAATCGTTTCTAAAAATGAGCCATACATACAACTTGGTGAGCCACTTCTCATAAAATTGGATGAAAGAATCTTAAAAAAGTTGATATCAAAGTCAATAATTAATTTTAACCACATAATTTATAGAATCCATAATTTCTATGAATTTTTTTAATTACAAGTTTCACTAACTTTTACTGAAATGTACTAAATTTTCTATCAAAATTTTATCAAACAACCCCTAATTAAAGCTACTTTTTAAGTACTGCAAGGCACTCTTTTCTAAAGCTAATAGTGAACTTTTGGTCTCCATGGACAAGTAACATTATAGCCAAGTTCAAAACCCATGACGTGCCTTAAACTCAACCATTGTTCCAAAATTACACTATCCCTCACGTGTCCTTCTAAACTGTCCAAAGAATTTCAACCACATTTTCCACTGGATATCATATACCTCTCTATTTCCAATAACTCCCAACTGTCATTAACTTCTTTTCCCTTCCAAAAATGGAACTCCTCGCATCCACTTCATCCGCATCCGACAACCCCCATCGCACGCAACCCTTAACCGAGCGCGTAATCCGAGCCCTCCACCCCCGGCTCCGCCTCCTCCACAGGTCAGATTCCATGTTCTTCATATTAGGTTCAACAGGAAATGTCTACACCGTGAACTTAGGTGCCACCCCATCATGTACTTGCCCTGATCGGAATTATCGGATGACTCCTTGCAAGCACATTCTATTCGTTCTAATCCGCGCGTTGGGTGTTCCACTCGACGATTCTTGCCTCTGGAGGAGGACTCTTCGGCCATGCCAACTAAATCGCCTATTGAGTTTGCCTACATTAACTGGAGCCTTAGCCAGCGCCACCCTATGTGAGAAATTTCACCGGCTATTTTTTAAGGCCCGCCCGAGCGATTCACGGCCACCAGTGGTGGTGGAAGATGGGAGTATTTGTCCAGTTTGTTTGGAAGAAATGGGAAAAGAAGATAAGATGGTGGCTTGTGGGACTTGCAGAAATATAATTCATGAGGAGTGTTTCTTGGCATGGAAGAGAAGTTGCGGCCGGAGAAAACCCGCCACCTGCGTGCTCTGCCGTGCGCGGTGGAGAGAGGGAGCAAATCAAGAAAAGTATTTGAATCTCTCAGCTTATGTTACTGAAGATGACATGGTGGAGGGTGATGACCACTGCAGTTGATTAGAGAATTCAAGATTAGCGATAGGTTATCAAAGTTTGTGCAATTTAGAATTTATATACTAATTCATTTGTGAAATACATGTATATATAATGATTCAGAGAGAATAAAATAAATAGCAAGCAATTTTGTAAAAATATATATGGATTTCCATTTTTACATGGCAAAAATAATGATGCCCATTCATGGTTCCTCTGCTCACTGAGTTATTCGAGCTCATGGAAACTATATAGGAAGTAGGTTATATATTTTGATTTTCTTCCAAATGGGTCAAGAAGTTTTACCCAAGTTAAGAATACCCTCAATGTGATTAAGATTTTCGATCAATATAAGAGCCGAATCCTTGATCCAATTAAGAGTTCTGAGTCATATTTGCAAGAGGTAGATCTTGACATGAAAGAAAATATGAAACAGTTAAAAAATTAAATAATTAAGAAACATAGCTATCGAGTCTTGAGTCTTGACCTCAATTTTGATAGTTTAAGTACTCTTGTTTTTACCGTGGGAATTAATTATACTTCTATTACATTTCTTTCAAGCATACATGCCAAAAAATAATTCGTTTTATTTTTAACTTACATTGTTTAATTTTTAGGCTTGGCCAAACATGTGATTTTTATATTTTACGATCATGTTTGGTGTACATCTTCCTTCACAACTTTCTTGATAGAATGTCACGTACATCTTATTTGAAAGAAAAACTATTTTTTCATCCAATAATTTTCTGCCAACACGTTTTTTGTTAACAAGGTGTAGGATTTTATGAAACTTTAAACTTCATAGAAATTGAAAATCTGATTACTTAATTGCCAAAATCAATCATGTCAAATCACCAAGAGAATTATTAATGCGGAACATGCCTTAATTTATTGGGAATGACTCTTTATTACTAGATTTTGATTCCAAATCTTGAATCTTGAAGATCAACTACAATATATGTATGCTTGACTACTTAATCTTTATTATTGAATATTGACTATTTTGATTTTTAAATTTTTGTTGTTGACTTTGGCTTTTCGCTCCATAATTTTGATTCTCAATTCCTTCTTCTTAATTGTTGATTTTTTGTTATTGATTGTGAGTTTTGGATCTTCCTCTTCAATATGTTTTTTCTTTTATTCTTATGTTGATGAGATGACACAGGAAATGAGAATCACATATGAAATGAGGATCATAACCCTATATATAACTTCCATATGTATTTGGCTCATTATTAAATACAACCATAATGGATCATGTCTATACACATATTTAGTCCACACTTTATCTAGAAGCACAAATCCCAACAAATTAAATACTTTATTAGATCACTTTCAAGGTGTTGAACTTTAAGATTGCATTTATACACAATTAATCAAATATGTAGGCTCACATGATAAATTAAAACTCAACAATCTCTCACTTGGGTCACATATGTTACCTTATATATTGCATATTCTTATGAGCTCAAAACTTTTATTATTATAACCAAAAGTATCTCCGAAAAGTCTCATCCATCAATTATGTCAATATAGGATCAAAACGATCTTCATTACAAGTATCATAACTAAACCCTCAATGGTCACATATATCAACACAATCAAATGATATAAATCAAGTGTGGATATGTAGTATGGAAATGTAACGTGATCCAAACATACTTATTTCCAACTCGCCCTACCTTATTTTTTAATAAGATTAAACCAAAACTTTAATTAGAGTGAAACTAAACTCAATAATTTATTTCTGTAGAATAAATCGAATATCTATAAGCATAAAATGTGTCAGAATCATACAACAACCAAATACAAATTCCCATTAAATTATCATATCATCAAAAGTTGCAACACCTTTATAAACAATGCGCTCACCAAAGACCTTGAGTGGTAGTTCTTTAATTAGTGGATCCGCAATCATGAAATTTGTCTTAATATGCTTTATATAATCCGATCCTCTGAATTCTTTCTTTAATAACTAGGAACTTGATTCTATAAACTTTGATATTTTCAAGCTCCTATTGGAATACAATACTGTTACTGTCACATAATAACTTTAGTGATCTTTCAATTCAATCCAAAATACGAAGTCAAGTGACAAAATTCCACAATCATATTCCATTATCAGAATCAGAATATCCAATGATCTCCAATTGGTCTGATTTCCTATATGTGATCGTGTAATCCTTAGTTCTCTATAAATATCGAATAACCCGCTTATCTACTTTCCAATATCTATCTTAGACTTATTTAAATATCTGCACAGCATTCCAACAATGAATGCTATATTCGGACGTGTGCAAATCCAAAAATATATCAAATTCGAGTTAAATATTTCATTAGCCGCTGAACTTTGGGTTATGTCACGACTTACTCACCGAATTTTAAAATTTTCCCCGATGGCCACTATACTTTGATCACTCACTACCAATTACTCATCGGATGAAATCTGTTAATTGACATGCCTACGTGGCAAACGGAAAGATTGGCTGGCCGGTTAAATCCTTACAAGTATTAAATGTTTTGCCTAATCATCGACCACGTCAACATATTAAAATCGTGTTTTGATAATTTCATACACGTTAAGAGGGTGTCTGTGAGGGATTCTTACTTTTCAACAATTGATTTTCATGTCATTATCATCTACAGTGTTGAATAATGGTAAATGTAAAAAAATAGAACAACATTCCATAAATGCCCTCCGTCCCAACAAATGTGATAATTGATTGTGCAGCCCATTTTGACTATTCCACATCAAAAGTTCAACCATGGGTCCCACCTGGTCAAATTTTTGGATTTTCATTTGTATTCTTGTTGAGCATTGTTTTTTTTCTTATTTCACAACAATTTTTATTCACGTGACAAATGGAAATATTGTTCCTATGTTTTCGTTGCATTTTCGTGACAGGAAAATAACACTACACAACGACATCATTAATTTTTCGGTAATTACTTCGTGTCCCCCACGACAATCAAATTACAAATATTAAATAAATTTCAAACTTGATGTGCCAAGTAATCTCATAACATATCCCACTCATTTCCTTGGGTTTTTGGTGTATTCATTTTGGCTGCAACTTCGTCCCATTCGTTCGGGAGGTCTACCTCCTCTGCGTCGGGGTTCGTCTTCGCTCTAGTAAATGCTTCATCCACCACACCTGCTCGTCGAAGGAAGTTGTGAACTCCTATAGTTGCAATTACAACAGCTGTTTGCACTTTAAAATTATAACTTGGCATTCGATCGAGTATTTTTCAATGACTTTTCCACACGTCGAACGCACGTTCGATTACGTTCCTGCACGACGAGTGCCGAAAATTAAACTTTTCCTGTACATTTAAAAAGTTTCGACTGCGACCGGTCGCCCCATTGTAAAATTGCTGAAAGTGGTATAATATATCCGAACCCTTATATGGCGCCATATACCTAGCTCGATGTGCGAATCCTGAGTCAACCTGATAATATTTTCCAGGTACCGATTTCGGGAAGTCTATATCAGGGTTGTGTATAACCCTAGACAAGATTCTTGCATCAAAACAGTTCCCTGTCGTGCCAGCAAGCACGAATGTGAAACACAAATTGAAATCACATGCCGCTAGCACATTTTGTGTAGGAATTCCCGCGGTAGAACGGTTCTAATATGTGTACCGTCAATAGCTCCTATGCAATCCCGAAATATGTAACGTTTGTTAAGATTAAGAATGTGGTACTCGGCACCATGATTATAGTTTGGATCTGGTTTAATTAACTGCCTCGAGAACTCAATGACCGCTTCAAGCACAAGTTTGAAGTAATGTCCAATGGTTTCCAGCGAATGGTTGAATAGCATCTGCATCTGTCTATATCCCTTTCCATGCGCTAGAATGCATAGAAACATACCCATTTGTTCGTACATATCTATATATTGTCGGCTAAGCAGTCCATACTCATCTCGAAGCACGTGTGCCAATGCTCGCAGCATCGCGGGATACATGCGAAACTTCACATAGCACTGTTGAGGGCTACAATTCATAGCATCTGGCATAAACATATGCCCGTTTTGCGCGAATTGATAGCTAGAAACACAACGTCGTTGTTCACGATAATATTTACGTACAGTCACCTTACTGATATAACAATATTGAAACCACTTAATCATATCCACAATGGCTCTTCCATAAATGCCTAGTCATCAATTTCATTATCGACATCGGAGGTTTGATGTAAATCACAGTTCATATCGAAATGCGCTATATACAAATTTTCTAATATGATATAGAAGACGATACTCAGGGAAGACAGTGAAATGTTGTTGATTTGCCTCACCCTTTATAGGCAAATGAAAAGTACAATCAGTACAAATTATATACGTAAAACAAATACATGTTTGTGAACATGTGAGTGGGTAATTTTTTTACTACTAGAATACATTTTTTCAATTCAATTAAACAATAAATCTACTTTTCATGTTTGTAAGCCTGCTGCAAATCTAATACGAATCACAATAATGACATGCACATAAACAATTGATTTTTCAACAGATAGAAATTGGTGGTCACAGTGCATAGTAAAGTACAGCATATGACAATTTTTTCAACTCAAATTTAAGAAAATTAAACATATAAACAAATATAAACAATAATGGCATGCACATAAGTAGTTGATTTGATTGTGCACATTGAAATTAGAAGTCACCATCCATAATAAAGTACAGCATATGAAAATGTTTTTAACTAAAAATTACGAAACAAAAACATAAAAACTAATGCCAACAACAACAAGAAATCGTGTGCCACGACTTTCCACACAACCTTTTGGGTAGCCATCACCCAGGCTGTCCTCGCCTATACTCTTGCCCGCTCCATTCCACCCATTCAAACTTCTCGTTCGCATCGTCTTGCATGTCCAAGATCTCGCCGTTACGTTTATCCCTGAGGAATGAGCACGTCCAGTAGTACAAATCAATTTGTTTTTTCAGTTGACCTGCGGCCAATAACTCATGCATGCATGTTTTCGGGTCGGACACAACTGGTCCAATTATCTATTCAAT